ATTTCAGCCATGTGACTTCATCAAAAGAATGCTCAGAGCAATGGTGTGTCAGTTCTGAGCCTAGGCATCAAGAAAACCCGCAGATTTCCATTTGTTCTACAATTTCTGATCCTACCACATTAAAAACCCAGGCTGAGCTGCTAGAGGATGGAAGATTCGAGGCTCCATCCATCCTGATCCATGTGCCTGAAGCTGGGATACTTTAATGACTGGCATCTTCCTGTGCCAGCTGGGATCAGAATGGCCCAGGGAAACTGCAGGCAATCACCAGAGAATAATGAGATCCCTAAATAAAGACATGCTCAGAAGAAGTACATCTTGTCACTTGCTATAAATTGGATGAACCTTGAGGACATAGTTAAGTAATGGAGTGGTATGTTAGGTTATCAGCTACCACTGGAAGCTTTCATGGATGAGTTACATCTGAATTATGCTTTCAAAAATGAGTAAGAGTTATCATTTACTTTCCTTTCTTCTTACTTTTATTTGTATTTATTTGGAATACTTTCCTTTTTTGGAGGAAGGTAGTGGAGTTTGATTCCAGATTCCGTGACTTGTTACATCCCCAGATTGAGCATCCCCCCCTCCCCCATAGGAATTGATCCTCCCAGGGTCAGTGCATGCTAGGTAAAAACTCTATCACTGAGCTACATCCCCAGCTTGAACCAACCTTCCTTCCTTCCTTCCTTCCTTCCTTCCTTCCTTCCTTCCTTCCTTCCCTTCCTTCCTTCCTTTCCCTCCCTCCCTCCCTCCCTCCTTCCTTCCTTCTTTCCTTCCATTTCTTTCTTATTACTGAAATTGAACCCATAGCCAGCATGAACCAGGCAAGAGCTCTACCACTCAGCTATTTCCCCAGCCTTTTTTATTTTCACATTTAAAATTTTTTACATAAGAACTCACCAAGTTGCCAAGGCTGACTTTGAACTCACTTTGTTGTAGTCTAGGTCTTGCTATGTTTTGGAACTTTGTGTCTCATCCTGGTCACACTTTGTATTTTCAGCTGAAAGAAAAGTATAAAGCTTCTGCCTTAAGGGACATACAGTCTGAAAAGATGCCCCCTAGCCCAAGTAAACACCAGGGAAAACATGGTATGAGAGCTGGTGATTTATGGCCTGAAGGGTGCGGAATCAAAGGGCTATGAAATGCTCGCTGCCTGTACCAACCTCTGGTAGTTAATCACACAATGCCTGGTTTTGTTCTTTAACTTTTCCTGTTTTGATGCATTGTCGCTAGCTTGTGTAATTATGAGCTTCAAGAGCAGAGACCACATCTTCTATTTTTGTTTCTCTTTCTACATGGATTAGCGCAGCACTTGTCACTTAGAAGCTTAAGAGAGAGATAAATTAATGAAAAGAGAAAGGAAAGGAAAATGGTCACCATTGCTGAAGGGCTTCAATGAATGGGGTCTGGAGAGGGTCAGGCAGTTTCCATAGCCACCCATAGCAGACCAGAGTGGGCGTTACTACTTTAGCAGTGCTGTCCTGGCTAAAGCCCAGGACTTGATTGTTGATGATCTTTCCTTTTCTGCTGGCTGCTGTTAAATACAGCAGGTTCACAGAAAAGTTCATGGAAGCAATGACTCTGAGGCTCAAGTGCCACCCACCAGCAAAACAGAAAACCCAGGTTATGCTGTGGGTTGCCAGTACCTGATCTGGCCACTCAGCTCCTGTAGCTGGAGACTCACTTGGGCTCGATCTATTTTGTCAGCAGGCATTTTAAATGCAGCCCACTGCCCTGGCTCAACTATCTGAAGAATTTCCCCTTTAACTCCTTTCGTACATATATATGCTCATTATTTTAGAAAATAATGGTATTATCGATGAAGAATTAGGTTAAAATGATCAGTTTTACTATGCCTCAGAAACTGTCACTTTGAACACTTTTGGTATATGTTGTGTACATGTGAATATACATTGGCCCTGTTCATATTGGCATGTTCCCCTTCTCATGGAAGATGCTGTTGACTAAGGGACAAGGGAAAACATTAAAAAGATAAAGACGGGGCTGGAGAGACAGCTCAGCACTTCAGAACACTAACTGCTCTTTCAGAGGACCCAGGTTCAGTTCTCAGCCCCAACATTAGACACTCATCACCATGAACTGTTACTCTAGTTCCTGGGCATCTGATGTCCTCTGGCCTCTGCTGGAGGGAGGATTGTGAGTTCCAGGCCTGCCTAATCTACATAATAAGACCTTTTCACAAACAAACAAATAAACAAACAAAAAATACCAAAAAAGAAGGGAAATGGCCATTAGGGCAAGCTGTGAGCAAAGATCTCCTCACGTGATCGTCGCACACAAAGAAAGCTCGTGTTTAAGAAGGCGGCCAGGGGATCTGACAGCCTCTTCTGTCCTCTAGGCATTGCACAACATGGGTGCACTTACCTACATGCAGGCATAACACTCATACACACAAAATAAAAATAATAAATAAAATATTTTTAAAAATCCGACCCAGGTTCAGTTCTCAGCCCCAACATTAGACACTCATCACCATGAACTGTTACTCTAGTTCCTGGGCATCTGATGTCCTCTGGCCTCTGCTGGAGGGAGGATTGTGAGTTCCAGGCCTGCCTAATCTACATAATAAGACCTTTTCACAAACAAACAAATAAACAAACAAAAAATACCAAAAAAGAAGGGAAATGGCCATTAGGGCAAGCTGTGAGCAAAGATCTCCTCACGTGATCGTCGCACACAAAGAAAGCTCGTGTTTAAGAAGGCGGCCAGGGGATCTGACAGCCTCTTCTGTCCTCTAGGCATTGCACAACATGGGTGCACTTACCTACATGCAGGCATAACACTCATACACACAAAATAAAAATAATAAATAAAATATTTTTAAAAATCCCACATAGCCAGTATGGTAGCTTATGCTTATAACCCTGGTATTTGGGAGACTAAGGCAGGAGGATTGCCATGAGACCCAGCTGGGCTACAGGGTGAGACTCTGTCTCACCCCTACCCCAAACTAATAAGATAAATAAACCCAGAGCACTGGCTTTTGCTGTGACACAGGAGACTCTTCTTTGAACTGCTCAGATGAAAGGGTCTCGAAGATCAGCCTGGGGATGATGAGAGCAGGACTGGTTATTTAACCGTTTTAGACTTAGGCCGTGATGGATCCAGAAGAGAACTTAAGCAAACCCTGTCTAAATACTTCGCTTTGCAATTGAGGAAACAGGACAACTAGGACAGGATTTGTTCACGACCTTTCAGGTAGATCACAGCAGAGCTGAGATTAGAACCCAGAATGTCCAACTCCAAAGCTGTTACAAAATGACAAACTTACTAAAAATCACCAGACTTAAGCTCTGTCACAGGACTTCTAGAGAACAGCTTTTTGGCAAGCTCTTTGAACTTAAATAAAAAATAGATTGGAAAAATGAAAAGAAACTTATTAGTACCTAACAAAAACCTTGAATGTACCAAGCACAGTGCTGGATGATTTTATATATTAATGTTATTACTTTTTCTTTTTGAGACATGGTCTCATGTAGCTTAGGGTGATTTTGAATTCACTATGTAGTTGAAGATGACCTTGAACTCCTGATCTACTAGCCTCCATCTCCAAAGTGCTGGGGTCACAGGCTTGCAACAACCGAATATTTTCACATACTTTAAAGCTTTATTTAAAATCCCTAAAACATCTATGAAAAGCCAGGTGTGGTGATGCATACCTGTAGCCTCAGCTGGAGGCCACCCCTAACTACAGTAAATCCAGGTCAGTCAGGACCCCATAATGAATCCCTAGCTTTGAAAAATAAAAACAAAACCCACAAAAAAGATGTTATTGGCATTTTAAAACAGATAACTGCTTTCAAATTCTTATGGCTGAGCCAGTGTTTGAGCCCAAGTGGGCTTGAGGGCAGAGCTGAACTATCCACCCCCTCAGAGAGGAAGTGTGACTGGTTCTTAAGGTTGTCCCTGACATGATAAAACCTAGTGCAGAAATTAGTCAAGACCATCCAAATGTGCCTCTTCCCATGGTTTGTGGAAAAGGAGGTGGTGATTCTCCATGTGAAGGCAGGTGATGAGCAGTGTCTGCTCCATTCTGCAGAATCCAACTGGATAAGGCTAGAGTCTCTGGCTTGCTGAAGAGGCCATTCTTTACCCTAGTGACTATTATTTTTCCCCCACAAACTCTCTGCTTTTATACACTTAATCACTTTTCTTTGGTCTTTATAGAAATAATTTAAATTTTCTGTTCAGGAGGTCAGAGGACAACTTGAGGGAATCTGTTTGCTTCCACCATGTGGGGTTCAGATTGAATTCAGGTTGTCAGGCTTGGCAGCAAGTTTGCCTACTGATTCATCTTTCCCCAATTATTTAATTTTTTTTTTTTTTGTATAACCGGGAATGGTGGCAGTTTATGCAGGTAATCCCAACACTCAGGAGGCTGAAGAAGAAGAAGCATCATGACTTGGACACCAGCCTGGGCTACATAGTTCTAAGCTAGCTTGAGGTAGAAAGTGAGGCCCAGTCTAAAAAAGCCACAGCTTCCCAGCTGCCTCCTGGGTGCTGGGATTAAAGGCCTGTGTCACTGCATCAGGCAAGAATATAAAATTCTTTATGCTACAAAAATCTTCCTATGCCAAGTTCTTTAAGAAATTAGATCACCCTCAGATGAAATGCTAATAAAAATTAAAACTGTAGCCAGTAGCACGTGTATGTTTGGGCCTAGGGCCAACAAACAGGCCATCTGGATGCAAGAAGACACTAACAGTTGTAGACTCTGGTCCCTCGTGGCTGCTCTGAGAGTTGACCTCACTGGTGCTCACTCAAATTAATTGCCTTTCAGGTTGCGTTTTCTCGTCTCTGGAGACGTCTTTTCCCGACTCAAACCATGTGAGTTAGAATGTGAGAACAAATGCACACACTGCCCCCAGCACCCCACCCCATAGCCCCTTCCATCAGGGATCCCAATTCACCCCAGAGAGCTGCTCCAGGTTTGAGAAGGGCTGGTCCTCACTGCATACCATACATAGGTGGAGGGCTTGTTATTCAGTTTCCCGCCTATGAGAGGATACCCCTATTGTTCCTGAAAATGCTGACCAGGACCATACTTCCAGCAAAAATCCCTCTGCCCCACAACTGCAGCAAAGGCAGGAACAGAAGCAACGGACGAGTGTTTGGATGAACGGCAAGATGGATAGGGCTCGCAGTGCCCCCAGCCCTGCTGATACCAAATGCCTTTAAGACACAGCCTTTCCCATCCTAATCTACAAAGGAAACAGGAAAAAGGAACTTAAAACTCCCTGTGCTCAGACAGAAACGAGACTGTTACCGCCTGCCTCTGCGCTGTTCCTTCTTGCCTCCAACTTGTAAACAAGGGCTAGAAGACCATGCGAGTGGGAAGTCGCAAAGCTCTGCGTTTTTGAAAGGCTCCTGGGGACCTCATGCTCATCTGTGGACGCTGGATGGAGAGATCTGGGGAAGCATGGACTCTTTAGTTGGCTTACTGCTCTATGGAGTCGGCTTGCTCCTTTCTGGTAAGGTTTGGCCCTGTTTTTAATACAGTGACTGCTCGGCTATATCTCTCACCAAATCTTTGTTTTGATGGCACTGACACTGTTTTTCAGTTGCTGTTCAGTTTATGCTTGTGAAGGTTGAATTCAGAGTCCCTGGGCCATGACCTGCTGTCTAGCCCTCTCTGGTGGATGCTACCTCCTGGGCTCCCATGACCTCTCCTAGGACTGATAAGTCACCGTATTTGATGGGATCTGCCTATCTGGTGCATTATTAGCTCCTCATCCTGGTCTGCTTCCTTATTAACAACAGCAAAACCTGGTTGTAACTGCTTCAAAGAAAGCATTTGGTAATTTTTGTAGAAACTAAATTCATACTCAGTATGAAATTCATACTAAGCAAAGTTCAGATTGTCATTAAGAACAAAAATGCTCTTAAATTTTTTTTTTCATATCACTATGCTTTTTAATCCAAGGAGTCTAAGTCTGGCTTTTTGTCTTATTGTTAGTTTGAGGTCAGGGAAATTAGGGCCATCTCACTTGCTTTATTCAAAAAAAAATATTTGGCATATAATAAATTTAAAAGCTAATGGTCCAATGAAACTAAAGCATAGACAGTTATCAAGATCACTGGGCTCAGGAGGCTGCAGTGGGCTTAAGGAATGGCAGGTTGGAACCAGCTTGGGTGGCACAGACTGCACAGCAGGGGCGCCCTGTACTTCACCCAGCGTATGTAAAATGTGCTGAAAGAAACATCAAAACCCAGACTTCAGATCACAGATGCGCTTATCGTCATTACTGGTTTCTCTCCATCAGTTTGAAAAGATTCTAATTATAATGCGAATGGAATTGACACTGGAAATGAATTTGGGAAATTTTAAACTTAATGGGGAGACTGTAATAGAATTTGATCCAAATACTTGCACCTGTGATGTTATTTTTGCATTTTTCTATATGTTTAAAGTATTTTATTAAATATTCAAAAAGTTGACCCAGTAAGGCAGCAGAATTGTATAATTTGTTCTGTTTCTCTTCAGTTTACTTTCACAACTAATGTATCTGAAATTGAATAATATTTAAAGAGTAACAGAAATTGCTGAATATAAAAGATGATCTCAGATGGTTTCAGTAATTTATATAGTGATTATTTATGTTAATATCAAAATTATGATAATTTCTCCATTAACATGAACTGTAAAACATTATCAAGATCCTTCACTTTTGGCTGGCTTTTTCAACTACCATGTTTGTCGGTGACATGGAACCCAGGACTGATTTTACACCCAAGACTACTTACTATATTTGCTATGATGTACCGTTAGGTTAAACAACACATGTGCTCACATATACACAACTGTTTTAATTTACTATTTCTCCTAAAGAGACCTGTTATGGCATTTTGCAATATAAGCCTAGAAAAGCTGTGTAAAAGTCAAACAAAAAGATTATGTGGCCAAGATGTTGTTTCATACCTTGACTCTGGTTACTTGAGACTGATTTCAGGAGGGAGACCACAAGAAGAGGGAGGAAGTCACATTTTTGTTAGAAAATAGCAAGGTTTGTTTCTGGGGTCGATCTATGTTGATTCCTAACTTGCATTCTAGGTCTAAGCCTCCGTGAACATGACTGCTCAAGGCTTGGCCACTGTAGCCAACAAGAATCCCACTTGCTCATACCCACAGCCCTAGGGGCGCATTCTTCAAGCCACCCTCCCCTGGTAGACCTCAGTAAGGCACAAGGGACTCAGGGCTTCTGTAGGGCTACATCTCTAGTCTAACGGGTGGTCTCATACTCCTATTTTGTGTATGAACAAAAATAATTGAAAAATATTCTACATTCGCCTCAGTAAAGGTGGCTGTGGGTGGGGCAACTTGCCAACTCATAAGTTGGAAGAGGTGTATGGCTTTCATAAACTCTGTAGATTCTGGTGCTTTCCTCTCCCAGCTGAGAATCACTGCCAATTTCAGCTTACGAATGTGTTCTAATAACATTAATATTATCTCATCCTTAATTCCCTATCTTCCTGAAACCAGGCTGCTTGTCCTGAAAGTGGGATATGCTAAAAGCATCACTCTTTCTGCTTCATTATGGAGTGTCCTATGTGATCCACACTGATGGGAGGTCTTTAGGCCACACATCTTCATATCTCTTTCCTATGTCATCTGACATTGTAAACAACTGCATTCAGAGATAACAGAGATGTTGCCTGGGCTGGCAGAGGAAATGCAATTGTTGGGTTAGGAACGTGGTCCCAGGTGGAGCCGCCTCCTTAGGCCTGGGTTCAGCAAGACCTTGGACTTTTTCTCGAAGGGAAGAGTTTGCTTTCTTCAGATGCTGCCTTTCAAAAGCGTTGCTGTTGCTTCCCTCTTAGACTTGCCCTGAGTGAGCTTCCTGGAAGAATCTGGTTCTTCTAAGTTATCTCTCCAGCACAGAAGGAGTTGTTTAAGCCCATCTTAGAAACTAAGGTCCAAATCAGAAGTGACAACCACTTCAATATGCCCATTTATTTTTAAACAGGGCTTCCCTGCAGCCCCAGCTGGCTTGGAACTCGTTATGTAGACCAGGCTGGCCTGGGTCGCAGAGATCCACCTGCCTTTGCCTCCAGAGTGCTGGGATTAAACACATGCACCACCACACCTGGCCAATATGCCTCTTAGAGAATACCCATTAAATGCCAAAGGCCCAGAGAAACTTAACAGCAAACTGGCAGGCAAGATGATGCAGTTTAAAACTTGGATTAGGAAATCACAAACTCAAGATTATGATCAAAGCCCAAATTGGATAACCATAGCAGTTTTCTTTCTGGAAGCTACACAGTGTTCATTGTTTTTGGAAGAGAATATCCACATTTTAGGGTCCTTATAAGGATCAAATGTGATGCTGCATGTTAAGTGCTTAGCCTCTAACGACTCTCTCAATGGAACCAGGTAGAAAGAAAGCTGTTGTGAGCACTGCTGTATGAGGTCAGGCTGGTGGAGACTCTGCCAGCATCTAGACAAGGCTCTTATGCACAACCTTCTTCCAGTAGACCGCATGATCCAGTCCTTCAAAGCTTCATCCGTTCATCCCTACCCATGGCACATCTCAAGACCATCATCAAAACGACACATCCGGCCCTCTTGGCCCTCGTTCATGCTCTTTTGTCCTTTCCGAAATAACATTTTTTGTCTTCACTCTTCAAACAGTTTAACCTTTCCTTGGCTTGTTCCTTTCCATGTTTTCTCCTAATTCTGTACCCATAGACATACCTTTGAGCATGTAGATTTAGCCCAATCGGACCCAAAGTATTTTACGATATATTCTTTTGAGAGCAGCAGGGTCTTTTATTGCTTGCATGTCTGGTGGATAGCCCACAGTTCTTCACCCCCCCTTCAAAGCATTCTCACACAACTGTGTGGCCCATACTTAGGCTTTTGCACATCTTCCAGGTCTCATCTATGGGAAGAAGGGGACATTTCAACTCAGTTGAGGAGGACAGAGGCTCCAGTAATGGCAGAAGCAGCAGGTTGGCACAGAGCAGGGAAGGCCCTGAGTGACAGGTTCACTGGTGAAGAGTTGAGTCTTTGGATGGCAGTAATTGAATCAACTGGTCATCTCTAGATATAGGCTTCCCAATTTTGTCCTCCAAAGTGAAAAAAATGTTCTTTTTCCCGACAAAATGCAAATCAGTGCTGGCCCACTGGCACTCTTACTGGTCTGTGCCTTTGGTCTAAAAAAATTTTATAACGGATATTATTTCTTTTTCTATCCTCATTAGTTGCATGTAGTTATGTTTTAGTGATTTTATTTTTAACTGAAGAGAGTTTAATAGTTGTGACAAGGCACTGTTGGTACTCTAGAGTAGACCTGAAAGAAAAAAAAAAGGAATTTTGTAGAAAGGATTGAAGCCATGTTGAAATAATATCTACAAAGATCGAGTTCATATACAATGCAAGTAATTTTTTCTCTTCAGCATTCTGGTTTGCATGGAGGTGGCACCATTCACGTGCTGGGAAACATGGCTGAAGGAGCTGTTGGAGGATGGCTCGGATGGAAATCACATGTAAAGGGAAATGTTTAGCAAAATTTGGCTTTCTAGATGTGAAGCTCAAACGAAGGGAATTAGGGAAAGGACCGAGACAGACATTTTGGTATTCAAGGATTGATGCGAGCTGAGACAGATGATAAAAGTAGCAAAATCAATCAGATTTCTTTTCAGAGATTTTAGATAATTAGTGTTACTAGCCGCAGTTTAAAGTGGGAGGACAGCAAGAGGAATGCAAGAGGGTGACAGCCTCCAGGCTGGGCCTGGGGTGCTTGCCTAAAGATGAGTTATTTTACAGAGTCAGCCAGCTGTGTTGACTGAACCAGATCTGGGAGGGGTGTCAGCAGATCAGCTGGCATTGCTCCCAGCCTTCAGGAAAGGGAACGTCTAAAGTTGCCTCCCTTATTTCTGGAATTTTAAACTGATAACCCAATTCCCACCAGTCTGGCCAGACTCTTCCTAGCTTGCATCTCAAGTACAGAGTGATTTTTAGATCTAGCTATGCCTGCTTCTCTCTACATCCACCCACCTGGTCTATTTTTAAAAAGTTTATTTACTCTGTGTATGTGTGTGTATATGTGTTCATGTGTTTGTGTGTAAGCACACATGTGTGCATGCCATAGCACATAGATGGAGGTCAGAAGACAGCTTGAGGGAGTTGATTCTCTCCTTCCACCACGTGGGTACTTGAGATCAAATTCAGGTCTTCATCCTAACAGGCCTAATCCATCCTAACAATCCCATGGCCCTTTTGTCTCTTCAGAAGTCTGTCTTTCTCCCTGTAGTCTTTCCTGTGGAAGCAGGTGTAAAGACTGGGACCTGCCAGTCTTCATTCTTTTCAACACATCTGCCAATAAGCAGAAGTGAATTCCCATAGTTCCAAGATTGACATGGTTTGGGGGTGACAAAGATGGAGAAATTTAAGAACCAGTCACAGGAGCCAGTCCGCTGAGGGATGTTGTGGGTGGCTGTTTGCTCCCTGCTCGTCACAGTCCCCCAC